GTTCTCCTCAGTTGCATTCTTAGCTTTCAACTAGCCTCCCCTTTAAGAAGTGTCAGGATATACAATTCACAAGTGACAAAGCTGACTCTTTGAAAAGTTTGCAAAGCAACAGATCCTAACAACTCTGAAGCAAGCATATTTTAAACTGAATTCAGGACACAAGGCTACCCATAACACAAAGCCAGCATTAAATGCTATTTACATGCCTCTCCCACAGATAGTCATGCCTAACATTTGTATTCAGTAGTAACAGCTCTCCACTCTGCTATCCTGCATGTGAGCAAAATCACTATTGTTCATGGACAAACTGAGGTTGTGTTTTAGAAGTATCAGTTTACCACCAATTTAAAATTGTGACCTTGGTACCGTGTGAGCGCTTTAACCAGGTGTACAAAACAGTCTTTTGTGTATTTTACCTCAGTATTTGTGTTTCAGTGAGCCAGCTACATCAAATAGTGAGAACTGTGAAAAACCATTTAGCTATGTGCTCATTTAGCAACTATTTCTAACTGCAGCCGAAAAAAACCACGGCTGTGTTGATTTATAGTCATATTTCACATATTCTGATAGCTTCTCATCTTAACCCTGCTGCTCTTCTGAGATTGAGTATTCCCAGTTTTTGTGGCAGCTTTCCATAGGTCAGAGTTTATAATTTAAGACACGTACTAATGGGTCACAAATTATATTCACACTCGAGGCATAATCCCATCGGAAACAGTTGTCTAAATGAGCTTCGCAGCATTGTTCCATTGATACGCTGCATAATCCTGCCCTTTGCCAAAGTGAAATGCGATGTTTTACATGGAGATAAAAGCAGTATTACTATTAAATGCACGCTTTAGGTGGATCACTCATTTCTCTGACTTCAGAGAATGCCTGAAGACTCCTGAAGAGACTCAAAGAACAGATCAGGTCTCAACAACATAATGTGCAGCCAGAGATAAAAATAAGTTTTTTTCCCCCACCTTTAAGCAGGTACACTTGCAGTTTCACTACCAAAAACTACATGCTGTTTATGAGATCTCTGCCAAGGTACAAACTGGTTTGTTTCTTTTTATTGTCGTTTTTGTTTTGTAAACTCTTTATCACCTTTGTTACACTGGTTGTAGAAGCCAAGTGTAAGTGCTAGACAAAGAGCTACTGTCTGAAAAGGAACTCACCGTTTGTCTCCTTGGGCAAGAAGGCAAGTGCAGGGTCCTGCACCTGAGGAGGAATAACCTCCACCATGCACCAGTACAGGCTAGGGGCTGACCTGCTGGAAGGTAGCTCTGTGGAGGAGGACCCAAAGACTCCTGGTCAACAGCAAGCTATGTCCATGAGCCAGCAGCTGTGTGACCCCGTGGCCAAGGCAGCTAGCGGTATCCTCCTGGGCTGCTTTAGGAAGAGCACTGCCAGCAGGTTGAGAGAAGTGATCCTTCCTCTCTGCTCTGTCCCAGTGAGGCCTCACCTGTAGTACTGTGTCCCGTTCTGGACTCCCAGTATAAGAGAGACATGGAGCTCCTGGAGTAAGTCCAGTGAAGAGCTACCAGAATCATTAAGGGCTCTGATATGAGGAAAGGCTGAGGGAGCTGTGCTTGCTCAGCCTAGAAAAGGGTTGGAGGGATCCAATCAATGTGTGTAAGTAACTGAGGGGAAGGTGTCAGGAGGACAGGGCCAGACTCTTCCCGGTGGTGCCAGGTGATAGGACAAAAGCCAATGCATGTAAACTAAAACACAGGAAGTTCCACCTGAACATGAGGAATAACTTCTCTACTGTGAGGGTGACTGAGCACTGGAATAGGTTGCCCAGAGAGGTTGTGGAGTTTCCTTCTCTCGAGACATTCAGAAATTGTCTGGACACAATCCTGAGTAATATGCTCTGGGTGATCCTACCTTATCAGGGAGGTTGGACTAGGTGGCCTCTGGTGGTCCCTTCCAACCTCAAGTACTCTGTGATTCTGTGAATAGAAATGTTTACCTGCTCTTAACATCTCTAACAAGCTAACTCATTTGTTTGTACATAGAGTCCCACCATTAGCTGACTCTCTATTTGATCCTGCTACACCATTTCATTCCTCTCAACCTGCACCATACTGTGTAATCTCTTCAGGCACACCCTTTCACAAACACTACTGCCTCTTCCAGGCATAGACTCTCTGCTTCAGCCTCACCTCCCTGTAGAGATCTCTGTCCCAAGTACTCAGCACTCACTGTTTTGTTTCATATCCCACACAGAAGACTAACCATTTCATTACAGGTAATTAAAACTATGTACCTGAATTTAGAAGATTTTGACCAATTCTACAGATACAGCCACACAGGCACTTGGGAGACACTGCCCCATTTTCTCATCCTTAGTTGCTGCTCATTTAGAGTCAAATACTTCCTATTACAAGGACAGCAATGAATCCTTCCCCTGTGATGGCAAACAGAGCTGCTTGTTGGAATATCAGAGTATCCGGTTTCTCCTAGTCTATTACATCTTAAAATCTGTATCTCAGGCAACAAGAATTTCAAGGATGTTGCTCCTTGCCCTCTGCAGCACACAGTACTCACATTAATGTGTCAAGACATATCAAAATGGAAGGGTGCCTATTTTGAAAGCAAAAAACTGTATTCTGGGTCTCTAGGCACAGCTGCATTGTTACATACAACACAAATCCTTTACTTCAGTATTATTTTTAGCACTAGTCTCTCAGAAAGCAAAGCATATTCCAGATACTGTCTGTAAAAGTTCCCTGGGGAAAATGCCAAAGCAAAGAGATGAAGCGGCGATAAGTATCTTCAGAGTCTATTACTGTTTTTCCACACTGCTACTATTATTGATGAATATGCATTTGTATTTATTAATTTCATTGCAGTCTGGACAGGAAGTGCTCCAGATGCTTCTGTCTTCATAAAATGTGCTTTGATTAAAACTGAAGTGAAATTACATAATTAATATTTTTTTTTTCTTGCCTAGCCAGTAAGTACTTCTATCAGGATGGAGGAAAGGCACTGAGTGCTACCAAGAACCAAGAAGGTCAACGTCCTTTTTTAACTCACAGGTCATATGTCATAGTATAAATACGGCACTGGCACCTGACAATTATAAGTCTGCAGTATCAGCTACAGCCTGCTGCAAACTCCATGGCCGTAAACTCCAACCCATCAGCAATAATGATCACTCATATATTTTGTGGCAATTTACTAATTGTATTATTCCTATACATTACTTCATCACAGGTGGAATAAGTCTACTTTTCTAGATGGTTTAGTGAAGTAAAAAAAACTTATACTTTGTGGCTTCATAACCACATAGCTGTAGTTTCAAAATTACGTATTTCAAAAGATAGTATGTTGAGTACTTTGTTCACATGCCAAACCAGGCAAAGAAGAACTGAAAATGCTACTGAAAAAAATTGTTCTCTCTTCAATCCCACCTTATTGTTTCCATAGAATAATATACTATTTTGAAGTGCAGAAACTCTAGGTTAGTTTTGAGCACAAACAAAGCTGGGTTTGAAAGAAAACAGTAAGAAAATGTAATGTAAACATTAACATGCCTGCCTCTAAATATCTGTAAAACAAACTGAAAGACACAGTGTAAACACAGGTGACAGATCTGTTTGCTCTTGAGGACTTGGCTTTGTGTCTCCCAGTTTCACTCATTCGTGCATGTTCTTGAAGGAAAGCTCAATAAGGCATTTTAAAATCAGAGCCATAGTTTGATTTTGTAAGTGATTATCTCACCTTCCTAAAAAGTTCTCTTACTGTGGTAAGAATAAAGCATACCATCAATCCCATTGCTTGGGTTTTAGCTAGATTCCTAAAATGATTCTGGACAAGGACTGAGGAAAAGTACCATTAAAATGCAGCTGTGTAGAGGATATAAGAATAGGCAGCTATAGACTTAATATGACTTCAGAGTAGCTTTTTTAAATTAATGAGGCAATTAAAAGTGCATCATTAATAACTTCTCACTGAAGGAGATATTTAGAAGTTTTACAAGAAAGTAAGGCCTCCAGTACCAAAACATAGGAAGAAATACTTTATTTTTGTAGCTACTGTTCCCAAAGCCCAGAGGGAACTGCTCCCCCAGTCATTAAGACATCTGCAGTAAACAAGCCGATAACCACTCTGTGCTCACAATTCCTAGTAATACTTGGTAGAAAACAAGGCACAGGCAACTTGTTCAGATCGCACCTTCTCAATACCATACAAGTGCCATATATTTTTTCCCTTTTGGCAGCAACTACAAAGAGAGAAATCATTCTCCCTGGCAAGTACCCCGCTACTGAACAGATTGAACATTTTTGCTAGCATGTAAGTTTAGACACCTGTTGTTCATCAGAAGTTGCATAAACATCATCTCACTGCTGAAAAACGGGAACAGAATTACTAGCAAGGCTTCAGCCACAGCAGCTATAAACCTTTCAGTCATTCAGCACACAAAGTTACAAATCACCAAAGCTACTAGCGTTTTTACAAAGATCAAGCTCAACAGTCTTTAATTCAAATATATTTCATAATCAAAATTGGAGGGAGCGCACTGAAACACCCACAGACATTCGTGCTTTATTCTCCACACTTCTAGAGAAGGAATGGTTATTTCTGATGGCAGTTTGATCAGCACAGATGACTCCCACAAACAAAAAAACTTTTGCTTAGATATTAGCTATGTAGCAAAGTACATTCAAGAAGCCCTTGTATCAATTTGGCATTTTTCAAGTACCTGGCAGTTGGTCCTTTTAACACCTTTTTGCCTGCCAAGTATTACACCCAAAGTCATCTCTTCCAGTCCATAAATATACTGAGAATCCTAATTAGCAGAGATCTACTGGTTGATTCAGGTATTAATGTTAATTTCCCCAAAATTAAAGCATTATGAAAGACTTAATTTTCTATTTAGTGATATGACACCTCTTACTGATAGATTTGGGTTGTACTACTGACTGCTTAGACATTATACACCTATGAAATTTTAAAAGAATAAAATATGAATTACTGAAGCACTATCTAGAAAAAACATCACAAATGTCTAAGGATAGAAAGAGAAAGTAAAAGGCTTTAATACATTTCACTATTTTGTGCAGATAATTATTTAACAGACTACAGACAACAATGAAGAAACAAATACAAACATTTCAGCATTTCTCATTTTCTTTTCTCAAGACACTTGGACTTGTACTTTGAGCATAAGTAGCAGTTAAGTAGTTAATCCACTGATACATAACCTAAGCAGAAAATAATTATTTAGTTATACCACTAAATGGTTAATATCATTAGTGGTACAACATCTCTGTGCTGTACCACTAATACTTTCGTGGTTACTGTAGAGATAAATTTGTAATCCAGGCAACTGGAGTACAACAGTAAAACCACAAAATATCCCCAAGCAGTGTTTAAGAAATATTGCAGATAATAGCTTTAGATTAAATTAGAATTTGTTTTTGTTGCTAGCATTGCAATGACGGGCAAAATTGTCTCCAAAATTCAATGTATTAGAAGGAATATTCTTACATTTTATGATGACTAAACAAAATACATGACAAGTAGGTACCAAGAGGTAAGATTCAAAACTCTGTAACTAGAGCTTATTTTCAATGAAAGGTATTAATGAATGCAAATTTTTTTGGGGTTGGAACAGACTGACTGTTTGCTTGATACCTCCAGGAATGAACTAGTCATCCTCGTAAGGTGACTAAACCCAAGAAAGTCTTTACTGAACAGAAATAGCTTGAGCATTACAACCTACTCAAGAGCAACAGAATGCAAGTATCTTCCTATGCTTACAGCTGTATTTTAAAAGCTGGCTGAACAAAAATGAAGCTTGCATTTCGTTTGCTGGCAGAAAAAAAGAATATTCAATTCACAAGAGTGCATATAACAAAACCAAACATGCAATTACTTGTTTTGAAAACTTTTACTGCAACATAACATTGAGGTGAATAGTAATTCTGCAAAACAAAAGATGTAAACAGGATAGTAATTTTACCTGTATGCATATAGCTTCTCAGATCATTTAAGAGGGGCAAAGAAGGGTATGGTGTTTCTCAATGATCAAGACACTTTAAATTGAAATGGGTTTTCATTTGGAAAAAAGCCAACATTACTTTAATCCAGCATTAAGCAAAATACTGTGTTTCTTGCACTGCCTTAACAGACCTTAAAAGCAAAACAACTACCCATTATTTTGGCATTCATGTTTACATTTGCTCAATCTTTTAGATTTCACAAAGCTGCTATCCAGTGTTGCCACAAAATACAGATTGTAGAACCTAGTAGCACAGGATACTTCCCATACCAATACTAAGTAGAAAGGAACATGAAGCAGGGCATTACACTACATTGCTGGAACTAGTACACGGTAAGAATGAACACCTAGAAAAAGTCAACCTACAGTTTAGAGAAGGAACTAATTGTCTGCAGGAGCTGATTTTTGGTTGTATACTATTTTTCATTTTCTGCATCTGCTAATTTAAAGCAGACATGTTGCTTTCTTTGTTCTGCTGCCTATATTATCTTCTTTGCCCCTCCCCATATACCATACACCAAGCATTATGAATGTAAGCCCAAAATCCCAGACAATCGAGTGAGCAAATTTAGTGTAATGCACTGGTGTGAGATATGAAACAAGAAAGCGTCTCTCAATCTTCATCAAAGTTCTGTTGTAGGAGAAAGTTGGCAGCCAAGTTTTCATTCTTCTCACAAGCAAAATACGCCTGTATCACAAGTCCTTCAGGAAATCCTAATGCCTTTAACTGAAGAAAAGAAACACATTTAGAAAATATGTTTTGTATATTAAGCTTTTTTACATGTCTAGTATCTTGATATGCAACTTCAGCAGTTTCAACCTTCTTGAAACAAAAATTGCTGCCTCACAGGCTTTTATGAGTAAAGAATAAGAAAGTGTTGCCTCTGTGAACAGAATTCTCACTTGAGAAAGTGATTTGAATGAGTCTAGTGAAGCAACATAAAATGTACCACTTACTTCACTGACACAGTAAGTTACTAGAACAGACTTGGGTCACAGTAATGTTAGGAAGTAACAGCACACTGCATTGCTGCAGAATAAAAACTTCAAATACTGCCCATTTAAAACTATTAATTATATGACACTCAAGATTTTTAATACAAATTGCCTGAAACAAAAGTTCCCATCCTGTGGTTACCAGTACGTAGCCCAACACATTACATTAAGCCATACTTTCAATTGTTCCAACTGGACTTTCACTTTCTATAAGGCTGACTATGCAATGAAGCCATCAGAAGTAAGGTGAGAGCAATCTGTGTCTTGTAAGTCAAAGAACTACTTGATGTCTGGGACATGATAACAATTTGGAATGGGAATACTAGAGAAGAGCTTATTACTGTGCCAAGGGAAATGGGTTTAGCCTGCACTTAAAGGCATTCAGCAAATCAATTGCCAATCTTTAACCTAAAGGCAGATGCATGCAACCATTTGGAGATTTTCTTAAAATCATCACAGCACCTGCAAGACATTTTACATACATGGCAGATCAAATTTCTGTAGGAAATAATGTCCTATTACCCATTATTAACCTTTCTTAGATTTAACTTCATAATTACAAACAGCACAAATGTGTCAGCTGTAATACTAGGACACCTAAATTTTGAGGTGTGTCTTTCACGGAAAGTTGAAGAAGCATACAACCTTTGAAGAGGTTGTAGAGGCAATAGTCTACTGCATAAAATAGTTCTAACGGAAATGCAGCAGACTAGAGAGGATGATCTGTGAAGAAATACATGCACAATTTTACTAGACTAATTTTATTATTTGTCAATTTCCTAGAGATCTAGAGAACTGACACCTATACTAAAATAGTTCTTTTCCTCACATAACCTTTTGCTTTGGCACTTGAAAAATACAGTCTTTAATATACAAAAACAGTACCAAAGCACGACACTGCAATTTGTCCCAAGAAAAATCTCAGAAGCATTACCATCTATGCAAATTCGTAGTCAGTGTTACTTACACACAGTATTTATGCATGTAATATACCACCCCCAAATGTGTTTTTATAGACACATTTACCTGCATGTTTAGAAAGCTATAATTAACTAATTCTCATGGATAGACAAATAACTGGGTTAAGTAGTGATTTCAACTAATCTACTTAACTATGAGAGCTCTTACTACCCAAGTACTTTGCAAACAGTGCTCATGCAGACACACCTTTGTACCTGGAAACCTCTCACAGCACATTCTACAATAGTACTATCTAAAGCTTTTCCAAGCGAAATTACTGCCTGAGTTCCCATTCCTAAGGAAAACTGATTCAACCACCACTTATTACAGGCTGTGATCACTTAAAGGTTCTACAACTTCTCAGTAATAGATTCAAGAGATTTCAGACTCAACTGCTATAAAGCAAGAAGAAAGGTGATTTGAAACAAGACTACATCAGCTATGAAATATCAAATATAAAAAATTATGCAGATCTACTGAGTACAAACAAACTTTAAGTTAAGGCATGTCTTAAGCACATACCCTACAGCAACAGCCAAGCAACATTTCAAATAAAAAAGGCTCACCCTTTCTATAGCTTCTTTTTCCTGAGGTGTTACTTGAATGTAGTTCATGTGACCATTTCCAGCTTCTGCTAGTCCTCCAGTGCTGGCACCATCATCACTGCCAGCTAAACCTTGGCGAGACTCCAGAACTGGCTCATTCAACATATGAATAAAGTGTTCCTGGTGTTGGCTTATTTGCTGCAATGCATGGGAGAATAAAATAAATAAATATATTGAAATAAAACATGTTTAAGCCTGCCAACAGGCAAGTAAGAATATTTATTTTCAGTGAATTAAGTAGTCTAAAGAATATGGAAAAAGTTCATAAAGAAGTGATTAAATATAAGAAACTCAACTTTATGCTTCAGTTCAGGTGCAGTGACCCTTCCCTCTGCCTGATGTCCTCTGCATCTCTTCTAAAGAGACTGACACCCATTTCTAATGTCATAGAAAACACATTCTATATAGCAACAACTGCTGAAAAGCCAACAGTAGAACGTTATAGCTGTTATTAACACACTATTATTAACAAACATAACCTTTTCTTGTAAAGCTAAATCAAAACTAGCAGGATTATTTTGTTGTTTCAAGATTCACCTGCAGCAGTTGAGGGTTCTCCCTTCCAATCTGCTGTAGCAATGCCGGTAACAGAGAAGGATTTTGCTGAATAATCTGTCTCATCTGCTGGAACTGAGGCTGATTTCGTAAAAATTCAAGTGGATGTCCTGAAAAATGAATGAAACAGCTTGTGTTTTAAAGTTACAGATTCTTAATAAAATACATACCTAAACCATAACTGTTGATAGAAACAAGACATGAAAATGGGCAATACACCCCTCACTAAGCAATATAAAAGCTTGCTTCCTCACACTAACTTACTCTAGCTTTAAGAAAGAATTCTTTATACTATGGTTAAACAATTCTTCCTTTTTTCTTCACCCAGCCTTCTGCCCTTTATCTCCAGCACTTTTTACGTCTCATCTTTGAGTAACCTCATTCAGAGGCACCTACCCAGCTTACTGTTTTGTCTCTATGCCTACCAGAGCTCTCTTCCTCCTGCAATAGACCAGTTCTGTCCTTCACAAGTGAGTCTTGCCTTCCCATATATCCTATACTTAGGTACTGCCTTGAACACAGCAGTGTCTAAAGTGGCCCAAAATACTCCATTTCCCCCATTCTCTCCTTATGGATGATATCATGTATGCTTGTCACTTCTACCTGTGTGTTTGAAACTGCCTTGTATCTTGAACACCGTATCTCTGCCACACCCTAAGACAGACTTTTCCTAGTCCTTGATTATGCTCCTTTTTCATGTGTTTCCTTAAGACAATTCTCTTCAGGCACCAACCACTCTGCCCACGCGCTGCACTGCTGAGTGAGGAGTCCCAGGTCCTGGATAGGTCTCTTGGGAGCCACACCTCACAGAGTTACTGAAAGTTTAATCCTCAATATTCCAATTTCTAAGCAGTAAATGTATTAGTATAGTCAGTTGACAATGCAGTTAGCCAAAGAAGTAGGAAGCCAGAACTTAAAGTGAGAGAAAACACCATCCCCACATTTATGGTTTCACATTTAAATCCAGAATATTGAATCAAAGGAATTGTGCAAGTTCACAGCATTGTTAGAAGTTTTGTGCTTTATTCCAGATATATCCACATACAACAAGCCATTAATTCCAAGCAAGTACCAGAACTGGAATTTCCATGTTACAGCTCTTACCCAATTCACTCTGATCAGTTCAGAAGCACCAGGAACTTAAAACTCTCTGAAGAAGAGAATGCTGAAGCGCATGTTTTTCACAACCTACCAAATATAACCTTTCTTACCTCCCAATGAACTAGTAGTTGTAGGTATAGTTGCTACAGCTGCTGCCACTGCTGAAGACTGAGAGGCACCACTGCTTGCTGCTGGAGGAGGGGGTTCAGCCGCAGCCTGATTATCTCTGGGTATGCCCTAAAGCCACAGTTCACAAAATTAATCTACAATGCTGAAAGATACTTGTTTTACTGCATGATTTTTTTTTTAATTTAAGAATAAAGCAAAACACATTAATGTTTTCACTGCAAAGACAAAGCAAGATGCTGTGATAGGTATGCGTTTACAACTGAAATAACGCTGTGAAAAGAGTAACTTTTTTGACAAGAAAAATGTAGTTTGTGTAGTGAGGTAGTAAAGTATGCACTGCATCAGTTAAAAATGCATCTTACTCTATAAACAAATACGTGCTTTGCATCCTGTTAAGATATTTGATGAGTGAAAAAGTTAAACTAAATATACTATGTTATAGTGTTATGCAAATAAAGTTACATTAGAACAGAATTGTTGTACACAATGCTAACAGTGAGGTTACAGATGCCATACAATCTGGCAAGTAATTAAAAAGGGACAGAAGAACACTGCTATTTGGACCTCTTTCCTCAACACAACAGTGTGACAAATGTCATTTACTGTATCTTAAGTGTGTAAAGGCCTGTATGTTACCAAATAGTGGCAGTTTAAAAAAGCTGACTTGCATTTTGTTTATTTTCCATTTGCAAACAAACTTTATACAGGAACTAATTGCTCAAGAGAATGAAATTGACTAATCTGAAAAAGAACAATTATAGTAAACTAGAATGTGGGTTATACAACAGAGACAGACCTTACCCCTATTGCCTTTCTCCTGCATGGGAATCCTTCAAATTTCATACCCTAACCATGCTTGCTCCTTTGTCAGTGAAGTCCTACACCAAAATTTTCCTTTCCATCCTCCTCTCTGAAGCCTAGAAATTTGGACAGGCTGGCATGGAACAGGCACCAAGAAAGACTGACTACAAGTCCTGCTGATACAGGCAAAGGAAGTTGACTGGCAAGAATGAAAAAGAGGCAGATTACAGAGCAGTAAACCTCCTGATACACACAGAATCACAGTGGCAGGAGCTATGTTAAACCCAGCCCCAAAAGGGCAAGACAATACAAGATCCTCTACCTCACAATACTCAGTTTCTATGGCATCAAAAAATTTGGTCTTTATACAGTCTTCCAGCATGTTAAATCCAGCTAAGTCTGAGAAGGAAGCAGAATTGGTATAACTATGTATTTCACCTACCTTCAAGGCGGCATCCTTCAGTTTGGGAATCATAAAACATAAGGAACAGGGTGGGAGGAAATATATCATAGAACTTCAGTGTAACCAGACAATTAAGAGGTTTGGCAAGCCTACCATAGAAATCACTGGTACATAATGTAGATTAAAAATCCTGCTATAACAAATTCTTCACATGCTACATTCATCACCACAGCTGAACAAAAAAGACAAATACACAGCTAATATAAAGGCTGCACCTAGAAAGGGAGAAATGGATAGTGCCCCAGCCAAAACTTCGCTTCACCTGTGAGATAAGGAGCACATCAAAGTATAAAATCAACTAATCATCAAGTCTACATTTAAGCCTCTCAGAGGGATAAATGCAAGTATTCCCTGTCAGACACTTTATTACCATTATACGGCTTGGTCAGCTTGCTACACATCCTTTCCTCTGCAGAGCAGGAAGAAAATTCCATTCATAACACAATTGAGGTAACTCACTCTTATCAGTACCTTACAAAGCACTGCTTAAACACATTTTCTTATAAAAATCAGTAATTTCAGGGAATGTAAGTATAATGTCAGAACGTGGACTAATCTTAGGAAATTACTGGTTGATTTCACCTATTCACAGGCATATGTTGAGACTGTGATCTGTGCCCAGATCAAACAACATATGCTTGTTTAAACCTTAAGCTTGCTCTTGAATGAAAGCACTATGGAAACTAGTCCAACCAAATTTACTTTGAAATTATTTGTCATCTTGAACAGCACTTAACTCTTAAATACAAGCTTGCAGTTGCACTCTCCAAACAAGCAACACTTGTGCAACTGTTATTTTAAAACTGTTATTTTAAAAGACTAGCGAAGTGTATGCATCTTGTTCACCAACAGAATAACGATTAATTCTGAATGTAAATATTGCTTGGACAGCAAAAGGGCCATTTTTTGTACCTTACAGTGGATTAAAAAATTGTTTATTGTTTAATTGAGCACCAGAGCAGTTTTTAGCTGACAGTGCTCTCTGCAGAGGAATAATCACATCAGGCCCAGTCAAAGAATGTAACACTGTCCTGGGTTCAGCAGTAGCAGTCATGTTTTTCCTTTGTGGTAGCTGGTGCAGTGCTGTGTTTTGAGCTGGGGTAACAAGTTACCTGACTGGGTTTAAACCACGACAAACACAATTAAAACAGAACCGTTCCAGTTGGAAAGGACCTACAGTGATCGTCTAGTCCAACTGCTTGACTGCTTCAGGCCTGCCCAAAAGTTAAAGCACGATATTAAGGGCACTGTCCAAATGCCTCAAAGATTGACAGGCATGTGGCATCAACCACCTCTCTAGGAAGCCTGTTCAGTGTTTGACCACCCTCACAGTAAAAGAAATGTTTCCTAAAAATTTCCAGACTACAAGGCTACAACCAACAGCCTGGCTGTTGAAGGAAAACCAGAATTCCTTCTTAAGGGTTAGGAAATCCTTGGGTCAAAAGGAGATCTGAATTCAAATGACTCCAAAGATCAATCTGCAGCACAGAAAAAGCAATGAGAAATTTTGAAATTGAGACCTCCTTCCATGACCACAGCTCAAGGACATAGGATTACATCTAAATCATCAGCCATGAAGCCATGAAAACTGAAGAGTTTGTAATGTGAACCATGCACAAGTGGAATCTTTCAGGTCCCATTTAAGCAACAGCTACATGTTAAGATACTCTATTGACACTTTCTTTCCAGCATTTTATAGGTACTATTGACACATTCTTTCCAGCATTTTATAGGTACCTCTGATATACTGATTCTTTAAACCAGGACAGTGGTATACACTTAGAGCTCTCAACACCCTAATCCTACTCTGCATATTGTATAAAAGATCAACACTCATGATAGTTCAAAGGTAGGCAGAGAGTCAAAGAAGAGTGTCATCAACGGATGAGTATTAACTGAAGAAAAGCTGCTCTGATGCAGCAGGATGGTAAGGAACATGTTTAGACCCAGCAGATTAAGAGCAGTTTGAAAGACTTTGCAACAACAGGGTTTTTCTAGGACAATATACATCTGTCAGCTTATAGGGTCTCTTAAGAGCAAGACTGTCGCTCCCTACTCCCTCCTCCGTCAGCAAGAGGAAGAATAAGGGAAAGACACTTTCAGTAAAGGATAACATGAAACAGAAAAGGACCACCTTATGTAGCAGATGGACCCCTCTTAAACACAAAACCTAGTGAAGCAATAGAAATGAACTGTTCAGACCAGTCAGACTAAATCCATTTGGCAGACACGCCGTGCATTGAACTCCATTGCAGGGATGCTCTATTTCTATTCTGGACTTCCTGAATGGGAATAAAGTAGAGCAGGAAAATGCCAGACTGAGTGTACAAGTACTGCACATCGTACCTGACTGACAAAGGAAGTCCAGCACTTACAGGAGGCACTGGATTTATGGTATATGTACAGAGTAAATGAACAGTAAAATCAATGGTTTTAAGGCATGAAAAACAAACATCTCATATTCTAGACACTTGATATTCCAGACTAATAGCAGGTAGATGTGAGCCACTGCATCTGCCCTTAAGGCAAGACAATATATATCACCTTTTATTTGCCTTACAGCAGATGAGAACTGAACTTTTTACATTCATGTACTCAAAACATTTGTTGTCTAAAATCTGCAGATTAAAAAGTCTTGGGATCCTTAACGTAAGTAGCAAGCATGCCAGTGACTTGCAGTTGCTAAGTTTTTCTTCATCAGTTACAAAAGGGAAGTTTTATAACAGGAGCTAAAGATGACAGTTTTCTTATCAATCTACCAGAAATTCAATCCACATATATTTTGTAATAACTGGTTCAAGATATCTGGCTTCAAGAGTTTAATAAAGTTCAGATTTGAAGCAAGGAAAAAGCACATCAGTGAAAAAAATGGTATGCTAGAGAAAAAACTAAAGACTTAAAACTAAAGAAATACTGATTAAGAAACAAGTTCCCGAACAGATTCTCTGGGACACAGACAATACACCTGTCAGATTATGGTATACAATGAGAAGTAATAAAAAAAAAAATCCCCTAAACCAACAAGATTTTAATTAAAGTGAAATTTTCTACTTCTTCTCATGACAATGAAGTTTATTTCACCCTTCAAACTCTATATACCAAATGAGAAATTATTTCTTCTCCAAAACACTGCTTAAATTAAAACACCAGTTAAATCAAAAATGCTTAAAAAAAAACTTTCAAATTTTTGTTTGGAAAGTCTATTATCAGGAACACTGTGCATTACTAGTAAAAACAATGAACTGGAACTTCAAAAAAAGGCCTTTGTGACATTATAGATACTAATATAAAATTTGTGGTGAGAGCTATTGCTGTCACCAAGATGTGATGAAATCATTTCTTGGGCCAGCCACTGGCAGTTAAAACTATCACTGTAACTGGACACACTTCACATACATATCCATACAGACCAACAAAGAATAAAAGCAAAGTAGTGACAGAAGCAATTAGGGGTAACTTTAGTATTTTCTGTAACACATTATAACCCTCCAAATCCAAATCTCAGACTCCCAGATACTCTGTTGTTATGCCCCTATGAACATGTATTACTCTCACTGATTGGCTAATACCCAAAACAACCAAGTAAATCACAGTCAAAATTATTCTCTAGTGAGGATAAGATAAAGTGAAAGAACAAGGTGTAGATAAAAAAGTGCTCACCATTAAAAGGTATTCCACTGCTCTGTCAGGATTGTTGAAGCTAGCCCGCAGCGCTGCAATTACTTGCTCTCGTTCATAGCCCATTGACATGATCTCAGTCACCATATTCTCATAGGACTGACCTGTTACTAGAAGTAACATGACCACCATATTAAGGGAATAAGGCAAAAAGGCAAAAAAAACTTTCAATGGATAAATTTCATTTCTACACAAATCCAAGCCACTCATTGAAGAGTAAAGAATAGCTTGTATTAAACTTGCCATGGTTCAGTTGCTTTAACCCCAAATATGTTCTGTTTTTTTTTCATTATGCATTTGATTAGAATCATAGAAGATAACAAACACAATGCAAACTTCTATTGAGAAAAGCAGCACTTGTGATACTTCTGTATTTATAATTGAAATAATATTCCCTATGATTTTATCTAAGGTCAAGGGCATCCTCAATACTGAATTCTTGATGTAATCAAGAAAAGTCTCCTGCAGTGTAAATTTGGAATTAAACTTTCTAGGCAGAAATCTGCCTTTGAAACAGTTAGCTATTGAGGTTTTTCTAAGCGCCGACTTTACATTATGCTATGCTTAGACAGATGATAAATAGTGACAACCAAGTTACAACTGTGTATTGCTCCCTGTTGCATGCTGTTGATGACCAAAGTAATTTAATCAGTTTAATATGGACCAACTCAAGTCAGGCAGAAGACTTAAAGTTAGGGTAAATGAGAACAAGTTATTTCATTTAATACATGTATATTTGACTAGGCATCCATCACATCAAATCCCCCACCTCTTACAGCATAAATGGACTAAAATTGGCCCATATCTGCAACTAACAAGAGAAAAGTGTACACACACTATGTATGATGCAACTGAAGGACAACTGATCCCTACACTAATGGTACTGAAGGGAAAATCACTCTCTCTTTTCACAACCCATTTTTCCTCTTTCTTAAAAGCAAGTACAGCAAAGGCAACAAAATTGAAAAAAAATAACTACCCTATTATAAATTTGAATTAAGTAATATCTTAAAGGTTATCTTCCCATGCAAAAACAGAAGTGTGTGTTTACAGAAGCAATAAACCAAGCCAAAATACCATGTCCTTCGTTGGATAAAGGTATTCCTCATTTCAGTGGAACCCTAATATTGACTTCAACACTAGCAAGTTAGTGGCAGGAGAGTTAAAGAATTATCAGTCACCATCAGCACAACAAATTAAAAAAAGTAGAGGAAACGAATGCTGTTAGAGCTACCCCGTTAAGATAAGTAAGTCACAATTAGCAGAACCGAGTAAAACCTCAAGTTTTATTCCCTTTGGGAGAAGGTGCTGAACTCAAGTCAACATTAACATAACCACATTGCTTGATTTTTAAAGGACGTTTCTAAGTAGTCAGTGGATGTATGACTGAGGGCAAAATACTCAATAAAAAATAATAAAACAGCCCTAGCCCAAGGATACTTGTGCATTATCTATAAATAATGGATCTATAACCCTTTACTAATTTGAGTATTACTGTTCAGTTCTCAAAATCATAGTGCTGACCTGAGTTTAAGGAACCGTAAGTTCATGTCTGCATATAGAACTATTATTTTACATCTACCTTCATTTTTTTCAAAGACATTAAAAAAAAAAAATACCCTAAACTTCACTCTAAAGATAAATATTTCTGTACATACTTTCAGAGAAGCAAAAAAGCCAAGTCAATAACTGTCCCAACACAATGGTTTTGCTAAACTTACTACTCATGTCCTTTCTTAGACAGCTCTAGTTTAGCTTGTTTAGTTTGTTTTAGCTAACAAACTTATCAAGGCAAACAGCAGACAGAACACATTTTGATCTAATTACTTAGCACTTAAACCTTTCTGCAGCACTCTTACACTATAAGCTAGGTAGAGACTAGAACAGTATGAAGTATTTGGTAAAAAAAAAAAAAACATCTGCAAAAAGGTCAGCCTCTTGTGGACAGACAGCTACATAAGCCATAATTAAAAGCCAAAGAAGAAAAAGGTATTACTGTGAATTTAGGCACATGTACTTCATATACAGTCTACTTACACAAGTCATGCAAAGTAAGATGAAGAATAACAACTGAGGAATTGAACACCATCAGTGTCATGATATAGAGTCATGCCTATCTCTACATAGTGCTACTGTGGATGTGAGGACAATGCTGAACTGATTCTGCTTTTTGCTTTTGTCTTTTGAAAGAACATTTTAAAGCTGGATTAACTTTCAAATTCCAGTTCATCACACTCCCCACAGTAATTCTTGTCCCATGCTCTAAATAAAGCTTAGGCTGCTCCAGTGAAAGATACAGTTGCACAGGAACTGCAAGATGCGCAGATCCTCACGCAGCACACAAAGCCACATGAGTTTTTAGTCAGCATATCTAACTGAAAACAAAAGCAAATTTGTAGAAATCAATCCCTGCTTTTAAAGTGAAGTCAATTATCTTCAGACAATGTAACTGAGAAGCCATAGTAAGAGCAAGCCTAGGATCCTACTTAGGACAATGCTAAATAAATTTGCACAAGCAAATTCCTTTTAAGACAGAGTCTAAAGAAAAAGAACCATAGAGTTCATGCCTATTGTCTTTGAAATTTTTTTAGCATCTAACCCTTGCAGTATGCTCACCCAGGAAATTACACTTAATGTCTGGCTATTTTCAAACTGTTAGGGACATGTGGGTTTACTGTATCAGATACCAGTCAGAGAACTTTCACATAAAATGAATAGTGAGGTGATGCTCACACTGAAAGATTTTATTTCCTTTTTTTCTTTTTTATTCTGAGGACCATCACCTTAAACAAACTTGTTAGCCATTATTGTTAATGTGTATTTGTGATGACCAGATCTTGGCCACTAAGGTATAATGAATGCTTAACGAAGCCTGCAGCTTCTCTGATAGTAGCACTTTAAAAATGTAATGGAACTTGACTAGTTGTGTCCTATAGCATCTGTAAGCTATTTCAGCTCATCTATTTCTTCAGCCTAAAACAGTATGTCGTAACGTAAGACCTAAGCTGCAAACAGACAGACTAAACCTTGTGGCTACCACCAATGCACATAAAACATTACTGCTGCTCCTACATCACTCTGGGCTGCTTAATCACAACACCTATCTCCAATATATCAACACACCCTTACACAAAAATGTAAGTGAAATTAGTGTGTAACTCTTTGTACCGAGTTGCAGCTTAATGTTTACAGAAGTAAGATAAAGTAAAAAAAAACAACACCTCCCTCTTATTTCTGTGTCTTAAAATGCTACACAAAAAAAAGCTCCCCTCTGAAAAATTTAAGTGGGAGTTGTGGGTTTGACTAGTAATTTCCTACCTACCAGAATCAGCATAAATGTGGGGCAGAACTTCCTACCTATTGTTTTTACCCTGTTTATTCCAGTGATAGACAAAGACATTTAAACTCTCAAAAGAAAAGTGAACTGACTGCAAGTACACAAAAGCATTCATTCCTCAACCCAGATAGCACTCAATTTATCTAATCTAAATGTGTTAAATGACAGTATTGTCAAAGGTGGAACATGAATAATAAAGGCAGCCATTTTATCAAACCTGCACACTGAGAAGCAAAGGTGAAAAGTATATTATTTATATCCAGTCTTCTATTCAAGCCACTTCAAACTGAAGAGAAATTAAGGCAAATTGGGGAAAAGAAGAAAACAGGAATTATAAGGATCTTCTCCTTTTACACAATAAAACTATATGAAGTACAACATTCTTCAGTAAAGAAGTTCTTGATGCTGATTCTAAGGTATCAACTTCAGGTCTTAAAGAAGAATACTTTGATTATAACTTAACAATGACAGATACAGAGGAGAATGTCAGTATCTGCTAATCCGTCATTTGTTTCTGCTGCACCAAAATAATGTCTACATTAAAAAAACACTCCACTTACCAAGTGCACTTATAGCATCCTCAAAAAGATTTGATCGAGATGTATCACCTGTTGTACTGTAAGATGAAGACAAGTGCAATGGTAATTACAAAACTTTGGAAAACTTCCTGTTTTTCAAAAAAGCAGCAGCAGCTGTAACTCTAATAGCCCCTTTTGTTTCTAAAAAAACAACAAAGCTTTCCAAAGAACTCTCTCTTATAGTGAGATCAGACTTTATAAACTTACAAACCTTCCAACTGCCCCCCAGTAGTCTGGTTCTTGCCCACCTACTCAAGGATTGGCCATTTGTTTGAACAGTTTAAAGGGTGGGAGAACAAGGTAGATTTTCAAAGCACACAGCAGTTTCACTAACTGCTTCCCCATAGTCGCTGGTTTGACCTCAATGAGGAATATAAACTGCTAATATTTGTAATTACTCCATCTCAAGTTATCAAAAGCTGTTAAAGGATTAAAGGCTCATCTCCACAAACACCAAGGAACACAAAGGCACAACCCCAGGCAGAGGAACTTCACCTAACATAGAGCCAAGGGTGCCCGTTTCCTGGCTCCTCCCAGGGCTGCCACTGAAAGCACCAGCCCCTTCGTCTCAGGGTGACACCCCGATGGTTCAACAGGAGAGGCCCTCCGGTCTCCACACAGACCAAAGGGCATTACTGCCTACAGGGTAGTGCAACGCACCATGGGGTGCCAGAAAAAAGCATTTGGCAATTGTACAAGACTTATGGGATATCATGGGGAAGAACCAAAGGCAGGTAAACAGAAGCATCAAGGCACCCTACAGATGAAAAGCATAGCTAAAGAGGAAAAAAAAAAAAACAAAACCAAAAAACAGGGGGGTGGGAAGAAAATGGGCCACATTCACATGTAAACAGCACCTCCTGGCCATGCCCTGCACCTGACTACCAGTCCATCCTGCCTTTTAATTAAATTCCATTTCCAACTACCATAACTATTTTTCATGCTGGGGGTGTCTGTATTCTACATGCATGTGTGTGTATAGAAGTCTTAACTGCCCACAGCTGGACACTGAACAATGAGCCACAGAGCTCCACGTCTGTGAAGCCAGCAACTGCAGAGACCAGGCACTGTGGAAGTCTCAGTGCCAGCAACTGGGAAAGCGACCAAGGGCTCCCTAAGTGCCTGAGGTGTTGGCAACTGAAGGGACAAGACATACGTATTCTGTGTGGAGGCATACACTGGCATGTGTGTAATCACCCGCAAGCATCAAGCTTGACTACATTAAGTAGGATTGATGCTTGAGAGCTGGTTATTGACTGGCTGTAAATTAAGAGCCAGTTGCTGCAGAGACTGGAGTGCCTGAAAGAGGAGCTGCTGGAAAGACTGTAACGTCAGAGGGTCAGCTACTGGTTAAGGTTATAGGTCTCAATCAGCTAGTGGAGAGATCTGTTCATATGGCAATGAATGAGGCAACTGGGAGACCAGAGGGGACTAGCTACCAGGTTCAGTGAATACCTACAGTCAGTTCCTGGATTTATCCTCTGTGTGTGTGCATGCATGCATATACATGCAAAGAGAATGTGAGTATCAGCAACTGGAGTGGGGCTGCAGGGCTCAGGCTGTCACACACCCAGATGTCAAAAACCTAAGAGACTGGGAGATCTAGGGGCCAGGTATTGAAATAGACTAAGGCCAGCTACTGGACAAATTTGTATGGTTCATATGTATGCCTGTACATATGTATTCTGCACTAGTAGGCTTTGCCTTGAGTAGCCTGAGGTGAACAAAATGCTACTGCTGTGCTGTATGGCTGTTAAGTGCCCTTTGTTTCACGCCTGTGTTAACCTTTGCAGCCAGCCATATATACAAGTATATACATGTTGTGTGTATGTGCTGGGAATAAACATTCAGTCTTGATACTTGATAGGCCTGGGGTCATGGAGCTGCACCAGCTCCACATCTATCAGCTACCAGATCTGACAACTCCTATCAGCAAATCAAAGATAATCAGATTAATCTGAATGAGTTTTCTGAAGATGCCACTAAAAAATCTAACAAGATATTTACAGAGATGCATTTTATTAAGAAAAAAAAATCAGTTCCAACAAGAATGCTTCACTAGTATAAATTATAACTAAAAAAGATCAAAGTGAAACAAGACGAGAGCTTGCCCGGCCATGGCTCAATATGCCTTCACCAGCCTCAGTAATTTAACTGCTAAAGCAAATCAGAAACAAGCAGTACTCACTGAAATTAAGGCAGATGGTAACTACAATGTATTTGTTAAATTACCTCTTGCCTCCTGTTAGGTATGTAAGGCTTCCTTACCGCAGTTTTACATACTGCAATCTGTACATGGAAAACCTGGAAAGCACTTGTTTTAGTATTAAATATTAAATTGATCTTTGAATCTACTGGACAAGCTGAGCAGCAAAAAAAAAAAAAAAAAACAAACCACAGCCATTAACATTATATATAAAAAAAAAAAAAAAATCGAAATTTATTCAACTGATAAATAAAGTTTCATTTGTATTCCATTTTAAAAATATGTCTATTTCTCAGAATTCCAAAATTAAATAATCGATTAGGCTACCAACTGCAAGAAATTTGTGTTAATTTCAAAATATTAGGCAATTGCAAGTTTTGTTTCCTTATCATCAGTATTTGATAGTGTTTAAATACAACCACTTCAAAGATCAATGTCTTGTGCACCACATAAACAACATACAGATCGAAAACCAGCGTACGGAAATGTATAATGCTATGTAGCACTGCAAGTGCCATTACAGTTAACAGCATTTTTATCCCGTGCAAACTTAAGCAAATTAAAGTGAGCAAAATAAGCCACAGTATACAACAGGGATGAAACTTCTAATTTCCATTTGATTTTCTTAAATGTAAAGAATTCAGGTTAAAAACTACCCCAGCTCCCACAGCTATCTGCAGATGGGTCAAAGAACATTCAGAACAAATAAGACATTACATTATTAAGAGCAATACTGCATTTTGGGAAAACAAACAAACAAACAAAAAAACAAAACCACAAACAAGCAAAAAAACCCCACAAAAAAAAACAAATAAAAAAGCACCCACCAAAAAACACTCTTTCCAGAAATTAAAGAGATTCTTACAACAATAAAGAACTTATTGTTTAAGTCTAACCAGCAAGACTTAAAACACAATCAGAGGTCTATGAACAGGAGAGGACATGCCCCTCTAAGTCTTTTAAGAGCTTTGTAAGTAGATCTCCATGCAGGTGAATACCCTCGGTCTGAAAAGAAACTTGTGCCACAGTAACTTTGAAATACCTAATGGGAGTACAATCCCGTGTCATGCAAGTCTCCACTCCATAGGTTTAGTCCCAAGATCACACTTCCCACCAGAGAAGGTGTAAGCAGTGAGGGGCACTTCTTACCAGCATATTATAATGCTATACTGGAGCCAAAGTCTGAAGTTACAGCTAAGAAAAAGGAAAAATGACATAGAACTGAGAAAATGACTGAACTAATACTGTAATGGAAAACCCAACAAAATCAAAACTAGAAGCAATAGAAATGGACAGGGAAAGCATTTTCGGAGTCTCCTTTGTACCTGTCAGTTGACGATGGACTGACAGCAGCTGGTGTCTCGGGTAGCTCTTCTGCTAGCCTCTCTTCTTTAGGATCACTCACAGGTTCTGATTCACAGGCAACTACATCTGGTGCTGGTGGTAGAGGAACAGGAGCTGGTACAGGGGCAGCATCAGGGAGTGGTGCAGTGACTGGTGTGGGAGCTGTAGTCGTTGAGCTAGTAGCAGTAGTAGCATTTGACTGCTGAGTCGCTCCAGTTGCTGCTTTGGCCTACAGGGGGACAACAGAACTCAGAGCACAAAGCTCCTAAACTCATGCTTTCTATAGTCAACGTACCAATTAAGACCATTTGTATTTGACACTGCTGCCTCAACATCCAGCATAACATTAAAACATTAAGTCTATAATGTATCACTGTGTTTAAACAGGTGACTAACAGGGTCAGTAAAGTACTTAATTATACACCTAAGCAGCCACACTATTTGAGCATAAAGTAAAATGCAAAGTTAAGACTAAATATTTACAGATCGAAGTATTTTAAATGTAAAAACAATCTTGTGTTTTACAAAAGCACATTTTTCAGAAGAAACTAAAATGGCTGTCTAAAAGACATCTGGCAAGTGTAACAAGCATAAGGTTTTCTCACCACTCAAATTTGGAAAAAAGTGCTGAAGTCAGAAATCACTTTCATCATGAACACTATCTTGTTCATATTTGTCAGTGACATGGACAGTGGGATTGAATGCACCCTCAGCAAGTTTGCCAATGACACCAAGCTGTGTGGGTCGGTTGATACGATGGAGGGAAGGAATGCCACCCAGAGGGTGACGCCGACCTTATGAAGTTTAACCATGCCAAGTGCAAGGTCCTACACCTGGGTCAGAGCAATCCCAGGCATAGCTACAGGTTGGGCAGAGAAGAGATTCAGAGCAGCCCTGCAGAAAAGGACTTGAGGGTGTTGGTCCATAAGAAACTGAACATGAGCCGGCTTCAGCGTGCGCTTGCAGCCCAGAAAGCCAACTGTATCCTGGGCTGCATCAAAAGGAGCGTGACCAGCAGGTTGAAGGAGGTGATCCTGCCCCTCTACTCTGCTCTCATGAGACCTCACTTGGAGTATTGTGTGCAGTTCTGGTGTCCTCAACATAAAAAGGACAGGGAACTGTTGGAACGTGACCAGAGGAGGGCCACGAGGATGATCAGGGGACTGAAGCACCTCCTGTATGAAGACAGGCTGAGAAAGTTGGGGCTGTTCAGCCTGGAGAAGGCTGCGTGGGGACCTCATAGCAGCCTTCCAGTAGGGGGCCTACAAGGATACCAGAGAGGGACTCATTAGGGACTGCAGTGACAGGACAAAGGGTAATGGGTTAAAACTTAAACAGGGGAAGTTTAGATTGGCTATACAGAAGAAGTTCTTTACTGTGAGGGTGGTGAGGCACTGGAATGGGTTGCCCAGGGAAGTTGTAAATGCTCCATCCCTGGCGGTGTTCAAGGCCAGGTTGGATCGAGCCTTGGGTGACACGGTTTAGTGTCAGGTGTCCCTGTCCATGGCAGGGGGTTTGGAACTAGATGATATTAAGGTGCTTTCCAACCCTCACTATTCTATGATTCTATGATCCTATTTGCCAGAAAATGAGATGCTAAGCAATTTAAACTTAACCTGCAACAAGTTTTACTTATGCACTCCTTATATTCAAAGCACTACATAAATGGGTCCCCAGCGATCAATTTTGGGCCTAATGCTGTTCAGTATCTCATAAATTATCTGGAAGATAGGATCAGGTGTACCCTGACCCTGTTTACTGACAATACCAAACTGAGTGGGGAAGTGAACACTTAGGGAAAGCCACCCTGCAGAATGACCTGGACAGGCTGGAAGAGTAGGGCAGAAAGAACCCTATGAAGCACATCAAGTACAAGTGTAAAGTCTTGCATCTGGGCCAATATAATCCATGAGTGCAGCACAGGCTCTGATCTACACAGCTGGGGAACAGGCCTCTGGAAAGGGATTTGAGGGTTGGTCCTGACACATAAGTTCAATGTGAGTTAACAGCGTGCAGCTGTGGCAAAGAAAGCCAACAGGGATTAAAGACATCACCACCCCACTCCACCCAGCGCTTGTCAGACCACAACTGCAACACTGTTTTGCTCTGGTCCCTGCTATACAAAAAGATGTGGAAATGCCCCAGACATGATTGAAGGACAGGGCAGACTCCTGTTGAGGAAAGGCTGAGAGAAATGTGTGTTCAGCACAGGGAAAACAAGCGTCAGGGGACACCTCATCATCATGTTCCACTATTTAAAGGGTGGCTACAAAGAAGATGGAGATTCCCTTTTTACAAGGAGTCACATGGAAAAAAGAGGGGTAATGGGCACAAGTTAACTCCCAGGAGATTCTGACAGGGCATGTTCATAATGAGAACAATCAGCCATTGGAATCCCCTCCCCAGTGAAGTGGCAGATTCCCCAGTATTGGAAGCTTTCAGATTTGGCTGGCCAGGGCGCAGGGACACCTAGTCTAGGCCACGCTTTTCCAAGAGAGGTTGCACCAGCTAATCCTTGAGGTCCCTCCCAAGATGTTATATGAGCTGTAGATGGGAGGCTGGGGAGGAAAGTCCCAACATCACTGTGAGGGTGATGAGGCACTGGAATGGGCTGCCTACGGAAGTTGTGAATGCTCCATCCCTGGCAGTGCTCAAGGCCAGGTTGGACAGAGCCTTGGGTGATGTGGTTTTGTGCGAGGTGTCCCTGCCCATGGCAGGGGGGGCTGGAACTAGATGATCTTAAGGTCATTTCCAACCCTAACTATTCTATGATTCTATGATAAATAACATTACACATACTTGAGTTCCATAGGGAGCACCAAAAATCCAGCAGAATCAAGGACTACCAAATCTATAGCAATAAATTTAGAGTGGTCAATACTAGCATGTAATTGTGAATTAATCTTCACATTTCTATTGGAAACATGAATTTTGCTTGGGTGCAGTATTAATCCTATTATATAGAAATTACACTTTTCAGAATGCATGTAACTTTCAGCTAAAGTAAAGGATTATGTTCTTGAAAGCTGTGTCCTATGATTATCCTTGAGTGACAAGCCTGACCCCATCTATGCCTTACCAAGAGAAACAGCTGAACTTTAACAAAACACAACTACTTATTCAAGGTGAATCACTTTCAGACAATGTTTGCTTAAACTAAGAAAGATATATTTCCTCCTTTTGTCTAAAGGAAAGGAGAGGCTGAGAGCAAATGGCTTCCAACATGACTGGCAAAATAAAGAGCATTTTAAGAAACATTCAAAGTAAAACACTGAAACATGTCTGAGCATCAGACAAAATCAGCAGTTGTGCTTATGTGACAGGACATGTCTTATCTAGAAAAGAATCAAAGCAAAACTGAGGTCAAAAGACTTAGCACAAAGACTTTAATACTGAAGAAATGCCCAACTCCAAAACACAGGTCCTTTTTAATATAAGGTACTGCATTTAACAGGTCTTCATGGAGATCTGTGTTTCTTCTGCTATAACCAAAATGCAAGCTGTACTCTGAAATCCCATCTGCACCTGTTTTCTTATACTGGTAAATGCCTCTTCTCCACACAACCCACAGATTAAAACACTCTTTCTTCAGGAAGACAGCAGTAACAGTTAAAAGTCAAACAGGGAATCTAATGAGCTAAACCAAACAGAAATGAAGGGCAAATGAATAGTGTTTTCTTTAACAGGAGAACTTCTAACTCCAAAATTAACTTATGACAGAGATTAAGTCAGTTTTATTCAGATCCCAAAGGTCTGAAGTGCCTAGAAAATCGGTGGCTTGATTCCAGAAGCAATCTCACAAGTGGCTAAGAGGAGATACTTCAAATACACGCCACATGACTGCCATTGCAGTCATTCAAAACTCACAGGTTTGTTGATTGGCATAGGTATCCTTTCTTTAGTGGTTTAAGCTGTTGAGTTTGAAAAAAGAAACAGCTATGAGTTTTGAAAAGCAACATGGAAAGACTGGAAGAGACCTACATAGGGAATTTAGTAACAAACGTTCCCTTTTTCCTTTTAATAATAAAATACTAGAAAGACAATAAAGAAAAAACAATAAAATCAGCCACTGACAAATTTTGTCTTCAATGTAAACATTCAGCACAGAACAAAAATAACAATCAGCATAGGCCAGACAGAATTTTGAAATAATATTTCGTATCTATTCACACACGAATTTACTTTTACTGTTGACAAAAACTTTCACATAATCAAACTCGACTTGTTTTAAGGATAGGCACATACAATCAGTCACCACAATTAAAAGAAAAACAATGCAACTGCTTTTTCAAAGATAATTACTCACTTTTGTCACCATAACAACCACAAAGTTCTTCTCATCTATTTTGTATTCCTTAAGAGCAGTATCATCATTCAGGATTTTACCTGGCAAATTAAACAAACATAAATTAAGAAGTTATTAAACAGATCATTTGATGATCTCAAGATTCCTTCACAAAGTTCAAACAAAAGCCTGTAAAAAACACATTTTATGCAGATTAATAACCTTACAAAAAGTGGTTCAAGTATTAAGCTTTAGCAGTAGAGCTGCCACAATTTTCCTCCTATGCTGTCGACAGGACTAGTTAGCTTGAAAGCTGTTGCTCCAAGTGTTGAAGACGCTTCAAATAATTCAAAACAGAAGCACTAAATATCTAGCAAAAGATTTATTGGACCTTTAACACAGATGAAAGTAATGTAGACAAAAAGCTTCAGCATAAAATAATCTTAAGTAACTTATGACTGCTTACACACTCTAGATACAGGAAGAAAATTCGTTTCTGCTTTTGTTTGCTGTTCAGATGCAGTAAACTATTTACAGTTCCCAGAGTCCGCCACAGACTAAGTTTATCTGCATATATTTGTGACTTTGAAACTTTAACAATTTAAAAGAAGGCTAAAGCTTTAGAAAAAGTGAGAAACTTTCCATATCCTGCCACCTTGACAGATGAAAATAAATAAACCAGAAAAAAAAAATAACTTTTGAAACGTCATACTCAGAGATAGTACTGTGGTGAAGTAGATTTGTCTCACGCTTAGAAGAACTGAGAAACACATTAAACCACAGACTTTCCTTTTTATTTTATCATAAGCTGATCTAGAGGCAGTACCGCAAATCAGAACACTAGGGGTATTTCGCACCACTTCCCCATTTCAAAGGGAGAATTTTCATAACCACTCTCAGTGCTAGTGGAATACACCACTTAACTGTGTATAGCAAGATAACAATCTTATCCTGATGATTACAAAGAAATCAAGCAACATAAGCACATTATGACACTTTGAAAACAGATGAGGTGCCACTATCTTACTCTACTGGTTCCACCAGTCTTGCAGGTCAAATACTGATTATATATACTGTAGCAGTAGTAATATCTGCAGCAGATGGTGCAGCATCTGACTCAGAACCTACACAGGTTTCCTTACAATTTTCAGGTTTATAGACACTTCAGGGAAGAAACATGCACAATGTATATATGCAGACATCCTACACTTTCAGGACACACCACTCACAGGGTTTCTAAACTTTACCCTAGTAAAGACAACACAACAGATCTATCCCACCTCTCATTAACATAACTTTATAAAAAAATGCAAGCATTTTTTAATAATAATTGTATACTTTTATACTTTTACACTCAGCTGGGATATTACTCTCCTTTACCAAACTATAAAAAGTTTAAAGCTCATTTTAATCAAAAATGTCATCAATGCACCTTTGTAATATCTCTTGTCCAAGAAAAGAAAAAAAATAAAAAACAAAACACAAAATCGTTTTTTGTATAGTCTTCGATTCTGAATCGTATTTTCTAATTTTTGTGAGGATTATGCAATGCTGAAGATAAATTCAGACTTCTAAAAATACTTATCACATCGTATGATCATATGCAGCCCTTGTTTTTATTAATCACAGAAATGTAGTATTAAGAGCATCATGCAATTATACATATTGCACAAGGCCTTCTGCCTTGCTCATATTTGTTTTTATACACGACTTTTACCTTCCTGATCTTGATGTACATTCCATTCACTGAAGCACATGGGACATAAAACTTGCTAAGAAACATAGTCCTAAAGACTCCATACAAACACAGAGAGACTCCAACTTCTCTTCTATTAGCATCTTTCTATTGTGATTAGTGGCTTTAGCTTCATAGAAGTGGAAAAGTAATGCTGTTTACAAAGCAGTACACTGAAGAAGTAAAAAAAAAAAAAACAAAACCAAAACTTCTTTCAAGCACAATTTGAGAGGAAAAAGCACTAGAGCGGGTACTGGAACAGAACTTTAAGTTCTGAAATGAAGTAAGAACAAAAAACCCTGGGACTATGTATGAGTGCCAGAATGGACCAGCAAAGTAGAAAACAGTAAAAAACCAACCAACCAAACAAAAAACCTGCCTAAAAATATTAGAACTATGTTAGCTCAAATACTGTAACTTTGTGTCTTTAACATCAGCCTGCTTTTTAGTGACATAGCTTAAAAGTATTGAAAGTACCTTAGTATACAAAACATTTGGTGGTGGGTTTCTTTTGTTAATACATAAGAAATAAGGTTATTAATGCTTCAGCTATACACAGCATAAACTGTACAAAAAAAACAGTTAACCCAGAACATCAGATGTGATCTGCTTAAATACTGATTTCTTTTAACAAAAGCTATTTCCACTTCAATAAGCACACCTCATCCAGCACTAAAGCTGCTAGTGTATCACGCTGCAAGAGCAAAGATAAAAACAGACGTACTAAAACCTGAACAATTCTGATTCAAAATTAAGAGTTCCCTTTGACAACAGATTTGTTGTTGGTTTGTTTTTGTGGGGCTTTTTTGTTTGTTTTTTACCCTGTTTGCATTTCAGTACTTACAATCTTTAGAAGATTTAACACTCACATAAAAATCAAACAGTAACATAAAAAAACAACATAGATTCATATACAATACCTTCAGAATATTCATTACCTGCATAAATCAGTTTTTGGCCAGCTACTGGAAAAGCATCTTTCCCCCTTTCTGACTCAATCTTCTCTTTCAGTTCCTTCACCTGAATGACAGAAATATTCTTAATGAGGGGAAATAAAAAAATAAAGTTTCAGAATACAAACCTGTTTATGCACATTTTGTTCCAAGTTTTAAATCCTGAAAGGTTGCTTTCAGTCATATCTCATGTCAAGTACATCAGTCTTCAAATATACCACTTCAATCTCTTGAACAGCAGTGTGTTCCCTTCCCACATAGTGCCTAGTGCTTAATCAAATTGTAAGCAATTTCTCCATGAGAAGTCTATATACTAGTTTAAAATACAGTGAAAAAATAAGAAATGGGGCAAAAATGCTTTTGACCCATTTCCCCTCCCTGTTATGTCTCTGAATGCAGGGTGGTACAGATGCTATATACAGCTCACTGCTTTCTTCTTCAAATGACTCTTCAGAGAATGTGTTTCTACGGTAAGGTCACCATGACATTCAATTTCATCCACAGCAATGACCTGAAGCTTTGAGATGCAGAGACTTGTGCAAACTGTCAAGTTGTTAATATTGTATAAGCGGTTTTCAACTCTTTCCCCTCTGGAGCTCTGCATAGCAATTTTAAGCTTTCACAGCAAAGTGTTCAGTCTTATTTACTTGCTTATACAGATCTCTGCCATAGTCAACACTTTAGAACACCACATACAACAGCTCAAATGACACTGAGTGTCAGAATGCCCATATCCTATAGAAAGGCTGCATAATGCTATCCCGAGAAGATAAAGGATGTTCCTTTCAAAGCATTTCTGTATCGATACATTTGAAATCATATTTTAAGACAAGCTGCCTGTATAAAAACATTAAATATTCCTGACACATGCTCCAAATATATGTAGAACAAACAAACGCAATATTATAAACTTATTACTTCAAAATAACTTCATTTTCTAAAGTTTTTTCTCCTGAATATTGATAAGCTTTTTTCTTGAAACACCGTAATTGAGATGTGTATACCTAGCTATAATAGGACTGACAACTACTTGTGCCACAGGCAACTTTAGTATTACCATTTTTGTTAATTTTTAAAGCTGTAGCTTACTATTAGGGTTGCTCGAGTAGTAAATACACTGGAACAGTATCTTAAGGTGCAAAGTGGTAAATATTTACTGAGAAGTGGAGCTTTGTGATTCCCAGCATAATTAAAAGCTGTTATCCATATTTAAGTCATGCTTCTTGTCATCACTTTATTTTTTTCTGTTCATGATATCTTAAATCTTTGTGTTACCTTTTCCTTTATTGGTCCTGTCACTTCTCCCTCTCAGGTATTTTCCCATATTTCTTTATCAGTCTTTTCACCAGGCTAATGCTTTCAGTTTGGATGTTTGGTCCAAGAGGGTTAAACCAAACTTTTTACACTCACAATGGAGCTTCATCTTTTCAGCAGTACACACACAAAAAAGTAAGTTTGTTTTACCAGGCTTTAGGACCCAGCAAACGAGGCTGGCAGAATCAACCTCTTCTGTAAACTTACACCTGATGTAGGTGATTAAATCACTAGCCACACAAGGATATAGAACACAGTTTCCCTCTATGGAACTACACCAATAGGAAGCCAATTCTCTTTCCCCAGCAGATGACGAAGGATGCTCTTACACGTAACATCCCAGCACCTGCTAAAAGCTTTAGAAATGGTCTCCACCCAGTCAGTTGCTTTTCCACAGCAAAACTAATAGCAGCTTACTGCCATCCCTAAGTCATCAGGCAGTCAAACCACCGTTCATTTTAATAATAATTTGCTGATTACCACTCTCATGTGCTTACTTTACACAAGTCTGTTCTACCCCTGGATTTATGTTTATTTTTAGAGTATTTCCCTGCAAGCTAGAAAACTAATTTGTGAATTCCTCCTCAATTATCATTCAAGGTCAGAAGTCACTCAAAACTAAACAGTCTCCTTAGGCCACAGAGAAGCCATCAAGCAGTGCTCCATTCCTCTGGTAATTTTTGTGGCCCTCATCTGGACCATCTCCAACAGGTCCATGTCTCTCGTGCAGTACTGCAGGTAAGGTCTCACCAGAGCAGAGTAGAGGGGCAGAATCACCTCCCTCAACCTACTGGCCATGCTTCTTTGGATGTAGCCCAGGATACAGTTGGTTTTTTGGGCTGCAAACTCACATTGGTGGCTCATGTCCAGCTTTTGATCCACCAGCACCCCTAAGTCCTTTTCCATAGGGCAGCTCTCAATCCCTTCCTCACCAGCCCATGTTGGTATCAGGAACTGCCCTGACCGAGGAGAGGACCTTGTATTTGACCCTGCTGAACCTTACAAGGTTTGCATGGGTCCGCTTCTCTGACTTGTCCAGGTCCCCTCTGGTTAGCATCTAGTCTCCTCACACGTGTAAACCAAAACACTCAGCTCGGTGCCATCTGCAAACTCATGGAGGGTGCACTTGATCCCACTCTGTGTCACTGATGAAGGTATTAAACAGAATGGGTCTCAACACAGACCCCTGAGGGATGCACCACTTATCACTGATCTCCATCTGGACATTGAGCCATCGATCACTACCTTCACGATGCAACTGACCATCCAGCAATTCCTTATCCACTGAAACAGTCTACCCATCAAATCCGTATCTCTCCAGTTTAGAGAGAAGGATGTTGTGGGGGACTGTGTCAGAGGCTTTATGCAAGCCCAGACAGATTGACACCTGTAGCTCTTCCCTTGTCCACCGACACAGTCATTCCATCACACGAGGCCACTAGGTTGGCCAGGCAGGACTCGACCACAGTGAAGCCGTGTTGGCTGTCTCAAATCACTTCCCTGTTCTCCATGTGCCATCGTGTGGCTCCTGGAAGGATCTGTTCCATGATCTTCCCAGGCACAAGGGCGAGGCTGACAGGTCAGTAGTTCCCAGGGTCTTCAATTCTACCCTTTTGAAAAGTGGGTGCAATATTTCCCTTCTTCCAGTCACCAGGGACCTTGCCTGACTTCCATGACTTCTCATCATGGAGAGTGGGCTGGCAACTACATCAGCCAATTCCCCCAGGACTCTGGGATCCATCTTGTCATATCCGATAGACTTACCTATGTTGAGGTTCCTCTGGTGGTCATAAGCCTGATCTTACAGTGTGATCGACTTTGTTCCCCCATTCCCTGTCTTGTTGTTTATCCACTTGAGAGGTGTGGTAAAGAGAAGCTGCCAGTGAAAACAGGCAAAGTTGTGGAGTACCTCAACCTTCTCATCTGCTGTTACCCATTTGCCACTTGTGTTTATCCACGGGGGTACGCTTTCTTTACCCCTTGTTTTCTGACTGGCATAACTATAAAAGCCCTTATTATTGTGTCCCATGCAAAGTTCAGCTCCGGTCAGGCCTTGGCCTTCCTGGCCCCTTTCCTGCACAACAAGGCAGCATCCTTACACTCTTCCCAGAATGCATGCCCTTGCTTTCACTCTCTGTGCATTTCCTTCTTGCCCTTTTAGTTCGACCAGCAGGTCTCCAGTCATCCATGCCAGTCTCTTGCCTTCCTCTTCCTTTCCTGATTTCTTAGAACTGGGGATTGGGAGCTCTGGTGCTCTATAGAAAGTGTCCTTAAAGATCTGCCAGTTCTGTTCTGCTCCTTTGTTCATGTGGGCAGTTTCCCAGGGGTTCTACTGACTAACTCCATGAACAGCTTAGTATCTCCTCCCATGGCCCTTGAAAGCATATTTACCACACATTACACTGCCATATAGACATTGTTCAGTCAGGTGAGGATGATGCAGCTGTAGCAGACAATAAACCAGCTAATGAAGCAACAAACTGACTAGTGCAACACATTTTACTACCCTTATTCAAACACCATGATCAGCAACAGATTAATGGCATATATTGTGCCTACTATTGAAATGTCCAAGGATAAGAAACTACTTAGCTTGTAACTAAATGCTTTGTAGCAGCTTTAATTACAAGAACACGTTTAATTCTAGCTACTTCTACACATAATAAAAAGCAGATTTCGCTGGCACAAACTTATACTTACAGTAATCTCTTATACTGTCTTCCTAAACAGGACACTCATATTCAGTCAAGAGACCACCTAGATGTTTGCATGAACAGACTGCTGCCCTACTTCAGGTTCCAAAGGCATAAGAGATACAGTAAGAGAGCAGTACCATAGGAGAGGAAGCTATTTTTGAATCGAGTCAGGTTTACAAGGTTAGTGAATGACTGGGGTAAAAGAAAATTACTCAACTAAACAATGTGTTTAAAATTACTCCAGTATTTTAAAACAGCCTCACAGGCAATATAAAGCATTCATAAACTTCTGTATTTGCTACTTGCATTTACTGTGCTGAAGTATACAAAGAAAGCAGCTGCATTGTCTGGAAGATAAATAGTCTGGAATTGGCAAGGTACAAATTCAAATTTAGCCCTGACATTTACTTCCTGAGCAATTACCTCTGCCTTTCTAATTTGCTCTCCAAAATTGAGCTCATCTACACCTAGCTGAAGCTCATCAGTCTAGTATTTGCTGTTGTTCATTGCCTAGAGATCAACAAATTAATTTCTCATCTCAAAGTTAGCCTCTGCACAGTTCTATCCTCCATTTCAAAATTCATCTAAGTCCTGTTTAAAAGAGGAGACACTAGGGTCAGTTCTCTGATGCTAAATAGTGACTGAAAGATAGTCTATAAGCTCCATCGTTTAGACAGACTTTAGTTACCTTTAGTTTAGCTACATTTAGCTGCATACATGCAGCTCTGTACTAACACATGAACACATAGATTAAAACAAACCTTTTAGCAACAAGGTAAATAAAGCTCAGCTATCTGTACCTTCCAAAACCACAGGAAGACACAGAATCATAGAATGAAAGAGGTTAGAAAAGGCCTTTAAGATCATCAAGTCCAACCTTTACACAAGCACTGCCAAGGCCACTACTAAACCGTGTTTTTTGAACACTTCCAGGGATGGTGGCTCCATCACTTCCCTGGGCAGTCTGTTGCAACACCTGAGCACGCTCTCAGGGAAGAAATTTTTGCCTGATATCCAACCTAAACCCTCCTTGGTGCAGCTTGAGGCCGCTGCCTCT